GCACAGCCTTAGAAATCAAGAGAATCAGATTCCATTCATAGCTTTGCACTTTTTCCTTTCTTTCTTTTTTCCTCTTTTGGGGGGAGGGGTGAATATCTTCTGCTTTGTAAATTATAGGTACTTAGATGTAATTCCAGAACTGAGTTTTGAGGGCTTACTGCATTCAAATATTCTAATATTTTGTGCTCCAGGAGAACTGGAGCAATGGAGTTATAAACTGGTAAGACCAAGCAAACCTTGTTTTCACTAGAAGCAAAGATATATCTTTAATTAATGTCATCTTAACCTGTGTCACAATATCAGTAAAAGAAAAATGCTATTTTTATATATTAGTCATATTAGCTTATTAAAATAAGCCTTCATATCCCTGTAAGTTAGCTGATGAGTATTTAAAGTATAGCTGCGTTTCTTCACGCGGATTACAGCATGGATTAAAATGCAGAGTCTAAGAGTACAATTACATGACGTGGATTTCAACAGTAAATTTGATTTTGGAAGTTCTACCTCAGTCTACTTGTTCTGTGCAATGCAATTTGCTATCTCCCTCAGTTATGTCAAAATAATTGTGGGACTGTGGTATCAACTGAATCAATTAAAAGATCAAGGTTTACAACAAATCCCTTTCTTTTAGTGCTGCTTCTAACCTGGCATGTGTCAGTGATCAGATTTACAGTATGGTCATATGAAGAGTTGCATCAGCACAACTGACGGCATTGCAAGTTAATAGTTCTGTAGGATGTGCTGTGGAAGAATGATTTATGAGGATTTTGGTGGCAAAGTCCTCTTTATCGTGTAATTACAGTGGAAGTGACATTCTCACAAAGCAGGATCATCATTCACCAAGGAGTTCAGGAAATGCTCTGAACTACTGTAATGAGGAATGGATTTAGGGAAGCATTACCAGTGTATCTGAAGGACGTTGGGTGCAGCTCTGAACTTGTACACTGTGAGTCCAAGAGCTTCAGGTGCTGCCAGTGTTTCAAAGCCACTGGTATAATGTAATGTGAAGCCAGAGCAAGAAGGAAAATCCACGTATTGACGGAAGCTTGCCTCAGTATCTGATGGTCATGTGTTTGTAAGCATAGGAGGGTTTCAGTCACGTGGGTTGTATACTTTGTGCATGAGCACCGTGCAAGCGTACAGCAGTATTAGATAAATGGGAAAGCATGACAATTTATACTAGAAACAACACTAAAAATAATACTAAAAACGGAGACATGGGCAAGCAAGAACGTGAAATGGGATAGAGAGCTTGATCCAAAACCCTCTGAAGTTGTTAATTTCAGTCAGGGGTTGCTGCTAATATGTGTCTCTCGTGCAAATGTATACTTCTAGGTCTAGGTATTAAAAAATTGCAAATAAGGAAAATCTAATTAAAAGACCATCCACCCAAGGACTGTGATGCTTAAAGGCTGGAAAGAATTCCCAAAATCAATTTAATGTCATCAGGGAGCTGCACAGATATTTTAGTCCTCTCCCCTACAAATTACTTTTGCAGGGCTGTGTCCTTAACTTTTGTGGTCCTGTTGCAAAACTAGATTTTTTTATTATTAGTGTGTAGTCTAAAAATATGTTTTACTTCAACCCAATTTGAAATACAGAGACCTAGAGCACTATGTTTGGCTACATATGCAAGCAGTTATGTACACAAATGTCTCCTTAAAATTTTTCTAGTCATTTGTAAACATGCATATTGGAATTAGATATCCATATGGCTAATGGACTGTATGACCCATAGTATTTCTATTTCGGTAACTATACCCTTGCTCAGTGAACTAGCAGACTGTCTGTTTGTTTTTCCTTAGAAAAAATGAAGTGGAAATGCTTTGTAATTTATTTCAGAAAACTGCAAGTCTAATCAGATCAATCAAGGAAGACGCCAGTAGGTTTGCTTTTTCAAAACTCATTCAGGAGACATGAATTATTTTAACATTATGTCATTTTTTTCCCCTTGGCTTTGTGGCTGTTGTAACAGTTCTGTTTATTAATGCATTATGAACTGAACATGTCAAAACGAATCTTTTTTCTCCATTTATAAAGATGTTATATGGGTGCATCTGAATGATACAGTACATACTTACTGAATTTTGATATAGGCCTCCTACTGGACTTTTTGAATAGAAGAGCCAGCGAACAATGTGAGAATGTCACAGCTCGTGTGTTCTGCCCAGTACAGTATTATAGATTTTAACGATAGCTAGGTATTTTCAATTCTGTAAAATGAAGTTATTTGGGCGAGGTTTTGGCTTATTACTTTACTTTTAACCTCCGTTTCCCTGTTTAGTGCAATGAGCTCTGCTTAAGACCATGGGGAGCTCTGTTTAATTGTCACTGGCAGTTTGAAATCTTTTGTGCTGTCAAGGAAATCATGGAGCTAATGGACGATACTGCGAGCGTCCAGTAGTGGTTCTGTGCTCAGTGATTTGTGCTTTATTTGCTTGAATAAATATCTGATGGAGCTGTGAGAATACACTGATGGAACATTATTGTATACAGGAAATTATTGCTGTGCCTATCAAGGAGCCATAGGAATTATGTAATTACTGTGAAGGGTAACTTTGCCATTTAGCCTTTATATATGCATCTAGAGTAATGAATATTAAAATACAATTTATCTTTAATAAGTCATTTTACAATAGCAATGGTAACACGCCAAAGTTTGTGAAAACATGTCATTTCCTATGGGTAGAGGACAATCGTTCTGTGTCAGACTGTTATGTACCTGAATTTCACAGGTCTTGAGAAAGTCATCAATGACTGAAGCATATTCTTCATTGCATTAGTATCCCAGTATTTCTCAACTTATTATGCATATATGATATTGTTGTGATGATGGAGGCGGAGAAGTACTCACAGACTAAACTGAATTTTTACTGTAATTGGGATTCTAAAATTTGGGTGATTTTCCCACCAGAATATCCCAAATTAACCAAGTATGTGTTGGATTAGAATAATGATTTTTAAAAGCCCAACAGAGACCTAGAACACTACGTTTGGCTAAACATGCAAGCACTTATGTACACAAATGGCTCCTTATAAATCTTGCTAGTCATTTGTAAGCATGCATATTGGAATTACATTTCCATATGGCTCATGGCCTGTATGACCCGTAGTATTCCTGTTTAGGGAACTGTACTCTCACTCAGTGAACTAGCGGACTGTTTACCCTCAGAAAAAATAGAGTGGGAATATTTCATAATTTACACAGATGATGCAAGAAGTCAGCAGTGAAGCACAACAAAAATTTTCAAATTTTTTTTTTTTTCTTACTCTGTAGTGTCGTGGTGAGTACCATCATGGCAGTGAACGTGCCTGGTTTTGAGCTAGGCCATATATGATAAGAACGGCCCAAATGAGTTAGAACAAAGATATGCCTGGCATAAGTTTCTGCCACCGGCAGAGGTGCATAGCAGATGCCGAGGGCAGGCATATATGATATTTCTCCCTAGTGCTCCTCCAACTACTTTAATTTTGGCATTATAATGTTTTCTATTCCTTTCCTAGTAACTCCTGATTTGTTTTTTGGACCACTATTCACCACTGAGCTGTCATTTCATTGTTATGTATGATAGCGCCAAGATCTGTCTCCACAGTGGTAACGGTTACTCAGTGTCTCTCAGTTAGAATTGTTAGAATTTGCTCTCCTCTCCCACACACTTTAACGACTCAGACTTTGGATTCAAGACCTGTGAGGTTCTGTTGCTGCCGCAGACACTTGCTGTGTTGTGGTGCTTAAATAGGAACAGTTTAAGCATCTTTACCATTGTATGATGTATTTAGTGGATATGCTGACAGGCTCCCATTTTTGCATATTCCTACCTCAGTGGCCTCTGCAGCTATCACACAGCTTTTTCCCTGTCTCATTTTTGCTTAGTATATGAAAATGAAAATTTAGTGTGGAAGTACTGTAAGAGAGCTATAAAGGAGCTGTCTGATTTATATACTCTTGTAAATCATAGTTGAGTCTTACCTATTTAAGTTGTACTGGAAGTTCAGTTCTGTGGGGTATTGAGGGCCCCCAGCTTTCATAGATTTTTGGATCCCTAAAGCACTACAGTCTTAATTTTTCTCTCCTGGCTTCCTTCTGTGAAGTTGGAAAAGCTTGTCTGAAACATTGAAAGCACTACAGCTGGTTTGGCTCTTGGAGCCCAGTAAACTGAACATTGGCAACAAAAAGGGAAAAAGATTAAAATTAAAAAGGCGCGTTAACTGTTAATGCCGTGTCTGGAAGAGACGGGAGGCATGGTGCTTGCAGATTTACATAGGTAGCAGAGGTTAGCCAGGCTGAAGGACAGAGATATAGTAAGAAAGTCCAAAGAAACCTCAGGTAGACAGGCATCCTGAGAACCTGTCATTCCAGTCCCAGGGTTGTGTTGTGTACTGAAATCTAGATGATGCTGATGAAATTCTCCCTGTTGTGCCTGTGAGAGCTTTTGTGTCCTGCTTTTCAGTAATTTATGCTTTCCACTTTTAGGTTCTCCTTTAAACTTAATTCCTCCAGTAGGGTCAACTCATGCCACTCTGAACCTCGTTGCTTCCATTTAATGAACGCGCACTCTTAAATGACTGTCTTCTCAGTCTCCGTGTTGACTTACGTACCTTCAGTGAGGGAGAATTTAAATTCCTTGCCCGTTTTTTCTAAAGACTAAATAATAATAGCTGCCCTCTATTTACGCTTTATGTATTAGCCCACAAAGAGGCTTTCATTCATGGGTCAGTGATTCATTTATTACTACAAAGGAAACAAAGGAAAACAGGGATTCTCCAATTTGGCTTATTTTACTCTTTAAGGGAGTAGAGAAAAGCTCAATGTCTCTTGATTTTATTCTCTTTGTTTTAGTTCTGAACCACTGTTCTGCCAAAACTAGCAGTTTCTGGCACTGAGGTGTTAGGCCCTGACCCAAAGAAATGCTGTGCTTAACATACTGTGAATAGTTCTTTCTCCTGTTTGTGTTCTATGTTGGTGGGGTTTTTTGCTTGTTTGTTTTTCAGAACTGGTCCTTCAGTGCTATTCCAGACAAGGATGTAATTCTTCCCAGCATATAACAGATGACAGTGTGGTTTACAGTTTCACTTACCAGGTGGGTTTTGGTGGTGGTGTTTTTTGTTTTTGTTTGTTGGTTTGTTTAAACTCGGTCTTGCTCAGCAGCTTTGAAACATTTGTATGGCTATCCACATCCTTCCCGTTCTTGGAATTTATGGATTACAGGAGGAAGTGCAATCCTTAGTCCTATGAATGTTGTTTCTGAACATATATTTGAAAGACTCAGTGACTGTAAGCGAGCAGGAGTATGACATACTCTGATGACCATTTTTCTGAATGGCTAATATTAGTGTGAAAATCATGTCACAAACATCTTATCTGCAGTTACTAATGTTTTAATCACTGAAGTGACTTTTTAATGTTTTTTCCATTTATCCTGTTTGTTCTCTTTTAAAATATATAATTCATCTTAATTAGATTGATCTGTTTCAGTCTTTTTTTGCAGCTAGGCTGATGAAGTGGGGCTCTTCTTTTAAGAGCTGATTGTTTGGGATGCATTCAGTTCTTACAGGCACTTGCATGTCAACAACCAGAACTAATTTTCAGTTACATTTTAAAATATTTAAAGAATACCTATTCATACTGGACTTTTCACGTCTCTTAATTATAAATCCTCAGTGTAGATAGAAAAGTAGAAACAAAGCACAGCTAAAACTGTAGAGAAAAACTTTCTGAAATTTCAGAAAAATAAAGTTGAGTGTATTAGGAAGAAATCACACTTGAGTGCTCCTTAATATACATATTTTTTTTCCTTCTTCTTCTTAATCACAGCGTTAAGTTCAACACTGGTAACAGCAGAAGTCCTATATTTTTTTGTTGTAGTGTTGAGCTACTCTGAAAATAATTCAGGGTGTTCTGTTGGGTTTTTTTTTCTCCTTTTTCTCCTAGAGTACGTTTCCCTGAACTCCCACTCTGGCTTGGCACTGTAATGGAACGTGTGCTAGTCACTGAAAATAGCTTGCTCTGGGACACTTTGTGTTTTAACACATGTGAAAAGTATGGTTGACTTGTATCTTCCCAGATTTTGCCTTTCACTTACAGTGTGCTGACATGTACTTTTATAGTCATGAGATATACCTGTGAAATGCTTAGAGACAAATATTTGGCCATTGGAAATGCAGCTAGATGTTTGTTTGTTTGTTTGTTTAAGATTTCCTACATAAAATAAAAGTTCAAGTAAGTAATTTTATCTCTTTGATTTTTAGTCTTGTTTTGGGGTATGGTATGTGCAGGTTCCAGACAGCTGCATGTGTTGGCTCTATGCTGAGCTGAACTTCCTCAAGAAGGTCAGCTGAGTGAACCAGACCTTTCCATACATGCCATCTCTGCCTTGAGCCTCACGAAACACAGGGTGTCCTCTGGGCCCTGCATTGTCTTTGTGTGAAGCTCCTTGTGGAAACCTTAGGGAGAGGGGGAAGGTGAATGGCCACCGACCTGTTTTTTGAATTGTGTTCGAAGTAGTAAGAGAGGACAATTTAAGTAGCCTGAAATAGGGACCCGTTTTCTAATGTGGTCGATTGAGAAGGAAGTCTTCCAGCACTTTGTTAAAGAGCCCGGAGGTTCCCTGCTTTGTCAGAACTAGTCAGAAACCTGGTGTACTAAAGCATCATAGGACATGTAAAACTTGCTTTGTGTAATTCCAGCCACATGCATATTTGCATTATTGTCACTTAATTCAGCCCTTGAGAAAGAGCAACATGTGGGTCACTGCAGAGGGCTGAAGCAAATGTAACTGTCTCATCTCTCCCAGGATGAGATAACCTTCTTGGTAGATGGTTTTATGAACTCTGGCTCCAGCTGTCTCCATATCCCCTGACCAGCTCAGGGGAGTGAATCTGTACGAGGTAATAAAGTTTGTTGCTGACACAGGTTTGCAGCAATTTAGTAAACATGCAGCAATGCGGTCCCACTCAGAGCAAGGAAATAGAAGGAACGTAACTGTTCCTCACTGCTTCCTCTGCATTGTGTGTTACCAGAGTATGTGCCTTAAGTTACTGTCTGTTCCTCAGTCATTTGTTAAAAGTGTAAGGTCAACAAGTCCAGAGACGGACAAAGCTGCTCAATTTATTCCCACTTGAATGGTAGATATTTGACATTCTGATTCACATTTGAAACATCAGCTCTGATTAATTGCACTAAGGGTGTTTCAGGGCCATTTGTACAGGCTATTGCTAACACGTAGAGCTAACTGTGTATGAGGTTTGATCTTCTTTGTCAGAAGTGCCGATTTTTTTCAGTTAGTCTTGGCTGACTGCAGGTGTAGTTGAATATTTTGATTATTTTGCATATTTTAAAATCTTGGATGGCAGCCTGCAGGTTTTTTGACTAACAGACCACTAGAGGGCACCATTTGATTGTCTCTTTTCCAAACTAGGGTGACCAATAAAATATAAAGTTAAATATGAAAGGGTTTTTCATGATATTTTGAAAGAATCATCTTGTGTTTTGCACAAAGTATACTATATTAGGCCAAGATTTTAGCACCTCTGGCATTTCATTTTACATATTTTACAAATTATTACCCTTGGTGAGGAGTTCTTACTTCAACATTTAATCCTTGCCCTGTAGAGTCTGACAGGGATCTGTAATGTAGTCAGAAACACACCACTATTGTAATTAGTGTTTTCTTTTTACCATGAGACTGAATGATACTTCTTTGATGTATGTTCTACAGATAATCTTTGGTGAATCCAGTTCCATTTTAGCTTAGTGCTTAGAAAACCTTTTACCTTAAATCATTTTGATTCCACAAACCATGAATTGGGGTGTTTCTATGTAAAATACAAGAGAAAAATCTTAGAAGTGGTGATTTAGAGGGAAGTTGCTGCATGAATGAACCTGCTCTTTCCTTCCTTGTCGTAGCATTTGATGTTTCTTTATCTGATTGCCACTGTATTTTTGTAGAATTCAAATGACTCAACTCACTGCTTCCCCCAGCACCAAAAACTGCATTATTCTTTTCTTTTGGAGTACCTGTGCCTTGTTTGCTTTTTCTCTCTTCCTACTGCCTTCTGAAATCCAATTGTCAGTCAGAGACCTTGATATGTTTATACGTTATCATTTTAAAGCTATTCTGTGCTTTCTTGGAGGACTTTGTCATTGCAGTCACTGATGTCTTTCAGCTTACTGTATAAGCAGAAGGCAGAAAGGCTGTAGCTTAAAACTGGGCGGTGATTATAGAAAAGAAGCCTATTCTCAGGAGATAGGAGCAGCCCAGAAGTCCAGAGTTTTCATCATCAGGCTTGCAGTTCCGTTTACAGTAAATAGTTAGTGCAGTTGTGGTCTGGAAAGTGATTGTTGCAGAATAGTGTTTCCTTACTTAAGAAATTGGTGCTTAGAGGCAGAGCCGCTTAGTAAGCCAAAGTGCAACTTTACTACTCCTGTCAGCATCATAGAGTCAGAGCAGGGAGGAGAGTAGACTGGATTCTGCAGAGATTAAATATTACTGTTTGAGAGCCAGCTGTGTAAATGCAGCACTTGGTGATATATGGAAGACCATACCATTAAGATGATATTCATCACTTAAGAACTTGAATAGACCAGATTAAAAAGAACTCACTTTGAGTTGCAGATCGCCAACTTAGTTTGCCAGCCTGTTTATGTCAGTGTTAGACTCGAAAACCTAGCTAGCAGATTTGAAGCCTACACCACTTCTATGACAGTTGAGCTAGACTATTAAAAAAAGAAAAAAGAAAAGAAATTGCAGGTCTCCCTATATGTTTGTTTGTTCTTTCATTTTTATTGTCTTTCACCAAAGGTGAAGAAGATTACAGAATCAAGAAATACAATGCTATGTGTTACTACTTGCATTACAGCACACATTTTATTGAGACTACATTTCTATTTACTTTACAGTGCCAGAATGCTTAGTCAGGAAGTCATTTGGCCATATGGAAAGTGCTATTGGGTTTGAGTCAAGTAATGAAATGTAAAAATGCCCCAGACAGTTATTTAAGCATCTTGGAATAAATAGCATTCAGATTAGAGTCTAAATGATTGAAGAAGCATGAACCGTTCATTAAAATTCATGATGTCTCATAGTAGCTAAGAAATTGGCAAATTTTTGAGGACTTGGCCTTCCTAAGGGAAATTTTATATATCCTTTACTCATTAGAATGTATATTTAGATGATTGATTTGTATGTGTGCATTTATTTGTGTGCCAGTTAACAAAAGTTTGTGTTTAATTCTTCATTGTTTTTCCTCTGAATCCAGTAGGCTAAGCTTCAGTAGGTCAAAGTCGGTGCCTGTAGACTTTGCATTATTCACTTTTGGATTGTACCATTTTTATGTTCAGAAATAGTGGGAAATACTGAAAGTATAGTTTGTTTCAGAACTTATAATTACTGAATCTTTATTACTCTTTGAATACATACATTAAATTAATGGAACTTCCTGTATTTTAAGATGTGTTGTAAAATACATGAAAGTTCATTAATATAGAGAGTTAATTAATATTTTTTAAAAATATATTTAAAAAATTAAGAATTTGGCCTTAATTTCCCCCAAAATGGCCAAATGGCATCTAATGGATTTTGTAGATAACACTATATCACTGAAATGGCCAGGAAGAAAACAGTTTTCCTGTCGTCTGAAAATTTTTGAGGACGGAGGAGGGAAGGGCTACCCAACCTGAATTTGCTCCAAATCTTTAAAATGTTCAGAATGTGGGGGAAGAAATGATGGTTAATTGAAATATTTTTTTTGATTACATTACTTTCTACTGATTTTCCCACCTGCTTTCTAGTGGTTATCACAGGTGCTTTCTAGGAATTCCCTTAGGGTGCTTTCTAGGAATGTTCCTCATGCTCTCTAGAAATTTCCCCTGGGCTTTTTAGAGCCCCACTGGCACTCTAGGAATTTTTCAAGCTTTCTATGAATTTTCCTGATCCTTTGCTGTGTAGGAATTCTGTCAGGTGGTTTCTCAGGATTTCTCTGGTGTTTTTTAGGAAATTTTAGCATGTTTTCCAGAACTCCCTCTGAATGCTGTCTAGGAATCTTGCCTCAATGATTTCCAGGAATTTCCCCTGATTCTTTT